GGCAATTATATATAATTTTACACTAAAACTAAAAATAGGAGCCTCATAAAGACTTTTATATTTTATAAATAAAATATAATATATATGATATATGCCATTAAACCTCAAAAGTTTATTTGACTTCTTAAAATCCAACCCCCCCGAGCAAGATTGCATCAACTACTTTGAAGAAAGGAGATGAAAGGGAAAAGTCATCTCTCCCTTTGACCCTAATTCAAAAGTCTATAAATGTGCTAATAATCGCTATAAGTGTAAGAACACAAGCAAATATTTCACAGTCAAAACTGGCACCATATTTAGAAACTCCAACATATCTTTACAGAAGTGATTTTTATCCCTCTATATTCTTTCAACTTATAAAAAAGGTTTCTCCTCTTGTCAATTAGCCAAGGAAATTAAAACTACCCAAAAAACGGCCTGATTTGTTTTACATCGTTTAAGAAATATTTTTGACTTACCACAATTTAAAACTATGCTAGAAAATAGTGTTGAAGCAGATGAAACATTTGTCGGAGGTAAAAACAAGAATAGGCATTGAAATAAAAAAGCCCCTCATTGTCAAGGTCGAAACTGAAAAGACAAAATACCAGTTTTGGGAATTATTGAGAGAGGTGGTAATTTGATTACTCAAACCATTCCTAATACCAAACAAGAAACGGTTAACCCTATAATTAGGGCTAACGTTAAAGAGGGTTCCGATGTTTTTACGGATGAATGATATAGACACGGTGATTTACATAAAGAATTTAACCATAGGATAGTAAATCACAGCATTAAGCAATATGTCAATGGTAATGCTTCTACTAATGCTATTGAGAATGCTTGGTCTCACTTAAAAAGAATGACCTATGGCACTTACCATAAAATAAGCAGAAAGCATTCTCAAAAATACCTTGATGAATTTACATTAAGATTCAACACGAGAGAATACAATGCTGAAAAAAGATTTGATTTAGTTCTTTTGGCAAGTGTAGGTAAAAGTTTAAGTTATAGTCAACTAATTTCTAATTAGAGATTTTAAACTTGCTATCAAAGGCTATTTAAAATCTTTATCTTTTTTCTCTGTTGGCGTTCAATAAAGTCTTGATGGTTTTTCTTGTCATTTTCTTCTTGGCTCAGTTGTTCGATAAGTCCTTTTTGAATTTCTAAAGTTG